ATCTCAAGGTCACACAGAGCAAGTTTTAACCATATAGGACTGAATGAATGGATAAAAGATGATTATGGTTATTGTCTGGAACACTGAAGATCCTTTACTGTTCTCTTTTCTGGAAACCCCTTTCTCTTTTCTCTTAAGTTATTGTACTTTTGTAAACAGAAATGAAACATTTATTGTTTCTCCCCTCCTGATTGCTCCAGGATTGGAAAACTCTAATTGAGTATTTTTATTTTCATGGCAACACAGTTATTTGCATACGTTCAATAAGACTATGCTTTACTTGTAACAGGATACATTGGATATATTACCAAGGCTTTTACTGGAATGTCACATGTGAAAATCTGCATAGAATCTGAGGTGACCAGACAGCTTTAGGGAAGTAAGGCTAACTCCAAAGAGCCAATGTTTACAGAGTCCACTTGGAAAAACCATCCTGGTACCTCAATTACAGGATTCCCAGCCTTGCAGGTAATTAAGGAAAGTCACTTCCTGGCAGATTCAGGAAACTTAAGATATCTTTGGGACCTCTGGTAGAGAAGAATTCACCCAAATCTATAGATATTGCAAGCAAAGTCTGGGTGAGCTCCTGAATTGAAGAATCTTCCTTGAAGATGTTTCCTTGAAGAAGCTTCAAGGAATCCCCCACAGTAGATCACATATGAGTAACCTGTGTGCCCACTACTGAATAGGTCACTGCAAAAGTTCACTGGAACACCCACTGCCTTCACCAAAAACATTAAACTGCACACCAGGAAACTGTCAGATCACCACTGTGGTCCTCACACCTCCATTGAATGATGCTTTGAGCTTAATTTAGAAATCTTGACTAGCTGCCCTGTGGATTCAGAAGCTGGGTTTCCAACCATTAGTTATAGCTTTTCTTTTCTTTCCTTCTTTTTGTTTTTGTTTTTGTTTTTGTTTTTGAGACGGAGTCCTGCTTTGTTGCCAAGGCTGGAGTGCAATGGTGCGGTCTCGGCTTACTGAAACCTCTACCTCCCAGGTTCAACTGATTCTCCTGCCTCAGCCTCCCGAGTAGCTGGGATTACAGGTACCCACCCCCATGCCCAGCTAATTTTTATATTTTTAGTACAGACAGGGTTTCACCATCTTGGTTAGGTTGGTCTTGAACTCCTGACCTCAGGTGATCCACCCACCTTGGCCTCCCAAAGTGCTGGGATTACAGGAGTGAGCCACTGTGCCCGGCTGGCTTTTCTTTTATTTTCAAAGAAACATCCTTCATTAAATGCCTGACTGCTCACACCATCCTGCAAATGCCCTTTACCACAAAGTCTCACCAGATGGATCTGCTGGTCCTTAATAAACAAGAGGGGACACCACAAGGAATGGATTTACATTGTTCAGAGGAAAGAAGGACATTTGATTGATGGCAACTCTCTCCCGCACCAGATAGCCTCCTGAGCCCTCTCCTCCACCAGGCCTGACCTGGGGCTTCCATCTCCACCCGCAGGGCCCATCTTTAGCAAGAACCCTGCTAGGCTGGTTTATCCAGATCCCCCCCACTCTCAATACCTGATCACGCTTAATATTAGTCAAATTCCTCATCTCCACCCTCCCCCAGGGATCACCCTGGCCTGCCTTCTGAAGAATCCTGGTCACTCAGATTCTGAATTAGCCAGAATCCCCCTTAACTCTTATGTTTCCTCTCAGCATTTTTTATCCACAGACCCCCACCCTGCTCCTTTGCTGTAAACTCCCACTTTTCCTTGCTGTATTTGGAACTGAGTCCATCCTTTCTTTGCCACTGCCAAACCCCCGTTGCAGTGGTCCCTGCACCTGTCACAATGACCCCTGAAAAAATCTTCCTCCCTGTCTTAACACATGCCATGGATGACTTTTTAACAACTTTAACAACAATTATAATTTTTAAAAAGGAAATAAATATTACCCTTGTTAATTAAGATATTGGTTGTGACTCATACAAGACACCAGATATAAAAGTGCTTTGAAAATAAAGCCTGCTGTGCAAGGATAAGTGTATTTATTGTTCTTGTAATTGTATAATTTCATTGCAGTGAAGTTGGAATTAATGAAAAGGCAATGGCCTCTGGCATGGTAATGAGAGCATGGCGGTCACCACTGGCTTCAGCAAGGTGAGGCACCTTGGATGGGGACACTCTCCTGGGAGGGGGCCCTAGGGGCTGGGGTGGGGCACTTCTGCTTGTCCTTGCCTTCATACTTCATTTAGGAATGTGAGTGGGCAAGGCTGTCCTGATGAGGAATAAAGGCTGTGTCCAGATCCCCTGAGCAGCCTCAACACCCCACACAGAGCTTGTCTGCCAATGAACAAGTGGGTTAATGGTTTTAGTGCTTCACACATTGCATGCACCCATTCTGTGCTAGTGGGGCTCTGCAGGTGGTGGGGGTGTCATGCTCAGGGTGTGAGTGAAGAGCTGAGGCTCAGGGTTGGGCAGGCACTCAACCTCCCGAGCCTCACAGTGACTTGCACGACATCTGAGTGCCAATACTGTGCCCCATCCATGTCTCATCTGTTCATCTCTGTGACCCCATGAAGCCATATCATCCCTATCTTATAGGATGATCATAGCTACCATGCTAAAATGCCAAAATGCCTTGCTCAAGGTCACAATAGTTAGGAAGCTATAGAGCAAAATTATTTGTATTTGTCAAATAACTTTTTAATTTGAAAAATATAGAAAAGTACCAAGACAAAAAACAAATTTTGTATATATATGTGATTGTTAGTATTATTATGGTGTACTTTATATTTAATGGCAGAAGTATGACCTTTTATATATGCACATTATTATGTACATATTTGGATATGGTCACAAAGGTTATGGTAGGGCTTTGAACATGAAAAATAAGAGAAATGAATTAGAAAATATCAATCATATTTAATTTAAATTTGTTGTAAATTTCCTATCCGTTGCAATGTTTAAGTGTTTTACATTTTATAGAGTATTAAATTTCTTAAAACTTCAAAACAACAGATAAGTTTTAAACACTTTGCCTACATAACACATACTAGATATATAAGGTTTATACAAAATGTGTGTGTGTGTTATAATTCACACATCTATGACTATACAAACCAAAGTGGAATTTTCTCACTGTGTTCCCCCAAGCTTACCCCTCACAGGTAACCAGCATTACAGTTTGGTGGAAATCCTTTCAGATTGTGTGTTTTCTTGGTAGAGCTAAAATTGCAGTCCAGGTCAATTTGCTCTGGTCTTTCCATTAAATATGAAAATGTATATAAAATACTAACGAATGCCTGGCATAGAGAAAGCAGTCAATATTAGATGTAACTTTTATTTTTATTTTATAAATACTGTTCAATGAAGAGAATCAATTGATCAATTAGTGAATATTTATTTGGCAAACACCTTGTTCTTAACACTGTAGTATATAGGTGTAGTACATGTGACTATGGTATAGTCGTAGAAGCATGTATATGAGAAGGTTTACAGAAGGTAGGCAAGGGTATGGAGTGTTATATTAACATACTCTTACAGTTTCAGGTAGTGCAGAGAGAAATGTGGGTGGATACAAATATAAATTTTAATGTATCAGGATATGAAGGTTGATCTTTAAGGCCATATTGATCTTAAAGTTTACAGATTACCTGAAGTCTCCAGATATTATTAATTGTTTCCTTGATATTAATAAAAACCACTTTCAGGAGAGTGGAAGTTTCTCTGTGAGTCTCACTTTAACTTGGTGAATATAACCACCAGGAGTAGGGAGCGCAGACTCTGTTGAATACTCATGCCCTCCATGGTCCACAGGTGTTTGAGGAATGGGCACCATGGCAAAACATAACCCACCTCATTGATTTCAAAATCTGAGAGGAGGGCACTGACCCACCTAGCCCATTGGGGCTACCACCACGTGGGAACCAGAGGGTTGTCCCTCCACTACTACTGCCATTGTCCCTGTCATGCTTGCTACCCAGGGGCCCAAGGACCTACCCACTCCCCTGGCCCACCACTGTCACCACTGACACCTGAGCAAGCCACCTGGAGGACCAAGATTTGGCTCAATCAGTGCAGCAGAAGCTGCCCTGAAGCCCAAGGCCAGGCATGCCTGACCTGCTGCTGCCACCACTGGGGCCTGAGGACTGGCTGACCTGGTGTCCCTATCTCCAGCAAAACTCTACCACAGCCTCCACTAACAATCGCACCCTAAGCCACTGAGGAAATCACAGATACCACTGACACTATTTACAGCCAAAGAAATCATATGGAGACTAGACCACTGCATGCATCCAGAATCAAAGCCAAAGTGCCCTACCCAGCCAAAAGCATAGATACATCTTCAGAAAAAATCCTCTCCTACAAAAGTAAATTTAAAAAATTGGAAAAAGCAACTGTTATACCAGATACACAGATACCAACATGAGGATGCAAGAAACATAAAAATGCAAGGAAATATGACACCTCTAAAGGAATATAATTCTCCAGCAATGAAAAAAAAAAAGCTGTAAAATCCTGGAAAAAAATTCAAAATAATGATATTAAAGAAGTTAAGCAAGATACAAGAGAACACAGATAAACAATACAAATAAATCAGAAAAACAGTTTACAGTATAAATGAGAAGCCGGGCGTGGTGGCTCACGCCTTTCATCCCAGCACTTTGGGAGGCCAAGGTGGGCAGATCATGAGGTCAGGAGATTGAGACCATCCTGGCTATCACAGTGAAACCCTGTCTTTACAAAAATACAAAAAAAATTAGCCGGGCGTGGTGGCAGGTGCCTGTAGTCTCAGCTACTCGGGAGGCTGAAGCAGGAGAATGGCGTGAACCTGGGAGGCGGAGCTTGCAGTGAGCCGAGATCGCACCACTGCACTCCAGCCTGGGTGACAGAGTGAGACTCTGTCTCAAAAAAAAAAAAAAAAAAAGAAAAGAAAAGAAAAAAAGAATATACATGAGAAATTTGCCAGAGATATCATAAAGAACCAAGTATTAGTTTGGTGCAAAAGTAATTGCAGTTTTGAACCATGAATTTTAAATCATTATAATAGGCTCAACCACATCTTTATTAATCAAAATAGGAACCATTACAATCAACACATTTTAGCCAATGAGAAATAAGGTTGTTTATTCTTGTAGTATAAAAATCTGTGCTTTGGGATTTGATGAACTCCTGGAAAGCATTTTCTGCATCCTGCAGGTTGTGGAGGCATTTTCCCAGAAAAAGTTCTCAAGATGCTTGAAGAAGTGGTAGTAGATTGGCAAGAGGTCAGGTGAATATGGCAGATGAGGAAAAACTTCGTAGCCCAGTTTGTTCAACTTTTGAAGCAGTTGTGTGATGTGCAGTCAGGCGTTATTACGGAGAAGAATTGAGCCCTTTCTGTTGACCAATACTAGCTGAAGTCATTGCAGTTTTCAGTGCATCTCACTGATTTGCTGAGCATACTTCTCGGGTGTAATGGTTTTGCTAAGATTCACATAGCTGTAGTGGATTGTCTACCAGCAGCAGACCACCAAACAGTGACCATGACCTTTATTTTTGGTGCAAGTTTAGCTTTGGGAAGTGCTTTGAAGCTTCTTCTCAGCCCAACCACAGAGCTGGTCATCGCTGGTTGTCATAAAAAATTCACTTTTCATTGCATGTCACAATGCAAATGAGAAATGGTTCATTGTTGTTGCGTAGAATAAGAGAAGATGACGCTTCAAGATGACAGTTTTTAAAAATTTTCACTCAGCTCATGAGCACTCACCTATTGAGCTTTTTCACCCTTCCAATTTGCTTCAAATGCTGAATGACCATAGAATGGTCGATGTTGAGTTCTTCGGCAACTTCTCGTGTACTTGTAACAGGATAAGCTTCAATGATTGCTCCCAACTGGTGGTTGTCAACTTCTGAGGAGGAGCCATGAAGAAGCTCCTCATCTTCAAGGCTCTTGTCTCCTTTGCAAAACTTCTTGAACCACCATTGCACTGTACATTCATCAGCAGTTCCTTGGCCAAATGCATTGCTGATGTTCTGAGTTGTCTCCACTGCTTTACAGCCCATTTTGAAATCAAATTTGCTTTTTGTCTAACATCATTTCCATAGTCTAAATAAATATAAAATAAACAGCAAGTAATGTCATTAGCAAAAATCATAAAGCAATGTACGTTAAAATGATGTATAACATAACCACATTTATTTAAGATGGAATTCCAATATGAAATGGCAATTCCAACAATGCAAAAACCACAATTACTTTTGTACCAACCTAATAGAAATTCTAAAACTGAAGAATTTATTGAATGAAAAAAATATGTATTTGAAAGCTTCCCCAAGAGAGCAAGCAGAAGAAAAAAATTTCAGAACGAGAAGACAGATCCTTTGAAATAATCCAGTCAGACAAATACTAAAAGAATAAAAAGGAATGAACAAAGACTACACGACAAATAGCACTCCACAAAGTGACGAAATATTCAAATTTTCAGTGTCCATGAGGGTAAAAAGGAAACAAAAAGGATAGAAAACCTTTTAAACAAAATAACAGCTAAAAATTTCCCAACTCTAACAAGAAGTTTAGATATTCAGACACAGGAAACTCTGAGATCCCCAAATGGATACAATTCAGAAAGGTCTCCATAGCACCTTATAGTCAGACTGTCAAAGGTCAAAGGCAAAAATAGAATTCTAAAAACAGCAAGAGAAAAGCATCTTGTCACTTATAAGGGAAACTCTATCAGACTAACAGCATACTTCTCAGCAGAAACCTTATAGGTCAGGAGATAATTAGACAATATAGTCACAGTGCTGAAAGAAAAAATGTTAGCCAAGGAAAAAATGTTAGCCAAGGATACTGTACTCAGCAGAGTTATAGTTCGTAGATGAAGGAGAAATAAAGTCTTTCCCAGATAAACAAAAGCAGAAGGAAGTACTCACCACTAGACTGGCCCTAAAAGAAATACTTAAGGGAGACGGTATTAGTCTGTTCTCATGCTGCTGATAAAGGCATACCCAAGACTGGGCAATTTACAAAAGAAAGAGGCTTAATGGACTTACAGTTTCATGTGGTTGGGGAAGCCTCCGAATCATAGTGGAAGGCAAGGAGGAGAAAGTCATGTCTTACACAGATGGCAGCAGGCAAAGAAAGAGAGCTTGTGCAGGAAAAGTCCTGTTTTTAAAACCATCAGATCTCATGAGACTTATTCACTATCATGAGAACAGCACAAGAAAGACTCATCCCCATGATTCAATTATCTCCCACCAGCTCCCTCCCACAACACGTTGCAATTATGGGAGCTGCAAGATGAGATTTGGGTGGGGACACAGAGCCAAACCATATCAGAGGCCTACATCTCAAAGTAAAAGGACAGTGTCTGTCATCATGAAAACACATGGAAGTATAAAACCCACTGGTAGAACCAACATTCAAATAAGGAAGAGAAAAGAATCAAATATTATCACTACAGGAAACTACCAAACCACAGTGATAAACAATAAGAGAAAAAGAAAAGAACAAAGGATATACAAAACAACCAGAAATCAATTAATAAAATGACAAAGATAAGGCTTCATATATCAATAATTACCTTCAATGTAATGGATTAAACTTTTCACATAAAATATATAAATATGTTTTATGGATTAAAAAATCATCTTTAAGTGCACAATAGACAACTGTTGAAACAAACGAACAAAATATGACCTAATTATGTGCTGTGTACAAGAAACTCACCTGAATTGTAAAGACACATATACTCTGAAAGCAAAGGGATGGAAAAAGATATTCCATGCAAATGGAAACCAAAGGTAAGCAGGAGTAGTTATATCAGATAAAACAGTCTAAGTAAAACATACTAAAAAAAGACAAAGAAGGTCATTATATAATGATAAAGGGATTAATTCAGCAAGAGGATATAACAATTCTAAACATATATGCATCAAACACCATAGTACCTAGGTAAATAAAGCAAATATTAGATCTCCAGGGAGAGCAAGACTCCAATACAATAATAGTTGAACACTGCAACACCCCACTCTCAGCATTAGACAAATCATCTACACAGAAAATTAGCAAAGAAGTATGGGGGTTTAAACTGTACTTTAGACCAAATAGACCTAACTGACATTTAGAGAACATTTCACCCAACAACTACAGAATATACATTCTTCTCATCAGCTCATGGAATGTTCTCCAGAATAGACCATATGTCAGGATACAAGACAAGTCTTGACAAATTTTTAAAAATCAAAATACCAAATATCTTCTCAGACCACAATGAAATAAAACTATAAATCAATAACAAGAAGAACTTTGAAAACTGTACAAATACATGGAAATTAAGCCACATAAATCTGAATGACCATTAAGTCAAGAATGAAATTAAGAGGAAAATAAAAAAATGTTTTGAAACAGATGAAAATCAAAACACAACATACCAAAGCCTTTGGGATACAAAAAAAAGCAGTGCTAAGAAGGAAGTTTACAGCAATAAATGCTTACATCAAAACAGTAGAAAGGCTAGGCGTGGTGGCTTATTCCTATAATCCCAGAACTTTGGGAGGCAGAGGTGGGAGGATTGCTGAGGACAGGAATGAGACTGCTTGGGTAGCACAGTGAGACCTCTACAAAAAATTAAACAAATTAGTTGAGTAGGCTGGTCGCAGTGGCTCACGCATGTAATCCCAACACTTTGGAAGACCGAGGCAAGAGGATCACTTGAGGTCAGGAGTTTGATACCAGCCTGGCCAACATGGTGAAACCCTGTCTCTACTAAAAATACAAAAAAAATAAATAAATAAATAAAAAAAGCCAGGCCTGGTGGCAGGTGCCTGTAATCCCAGCTACTTGGGGGGCTAAGGCGGGAGAATCTCCTGAACCCAGGAAGCAGAGGTGGCAGTGAGCCGAGATCGCACCACTGCACTGCAGCCTGGACCATAGAGCAAGACTCTGTATCAAAAAAAAAAAAAAAAAAAAAAAAAAAAAAAAATAGCCGAGTGTGGTGGTGCATACTTGTAGTCCCAGCTACTTGGGAGACTGAGATGGAAGGACTACTTGAGTGTAGGAGTTTGGGGCTGCAGTGTGCTGTGATCATGCCACTGCACTCCAGCCTGGGTGACAGAGTGAGATCCTCTCTCAAAAAAAAAAAAAAAAAAAGTAGAAGTATTTCAAATAAACAGTCTAATGATGCAACTCGAGGTACTAGAAAACCAAGAAAAAAACCAAACCCAAAACTGGAAGAAGGAAATAAATAATAAAGATCAGAGAAGAACAAAATGAAATGGAGACTAAAAAAGATACAAAGGAACAACAAAAGGAAAAGGTGTTTTTCTGAAAAGATGAGCAAAATTGATAAACTGCTAGCTATACTAACCAAGAAAAAAAGAGAGAAGTTCCAAATATAATCAGAAATGAAAAAGTAGGCATTACAATTGATAACACAGAAATACAAAAGATCATTAGAGGCCCTTACGAACAACTGTATACTAACAGTCTGGAAAACCTAGATGAAATGGATAACCTTCTGGACACATACAAGCTACCAAGATTGAATCAGGAAAAACCAGAAAATCTGAACAGACCAATAATGAGATTGGATCAGTAATAAAATGTCTCCCCACAAAGAATAGTCTAGAACTGCATGCCTTTACTGCCAAATTCTACCAAACTTACGAAGAAGAATTAACACAAATTCTCCTCAAATTATTCCAAAAAATTGAAGAGGAAGGAATTCTCCCTGAATTGTTCTATGAAGCCAGCATTATTCTTATACCAAAACCAGACAAGGATGCAACAGAAAAAGAAAACTACAGGTCAATATCTTTGATAAACATAGATGCAAAACTTCTCAACAAAATACTACCAAAATGTATCCAACAGCACATCAAAAAGATGATATACCATGATTAAGTGGAATTGATCTCAGAGATGCAAGAATGGCTTAACATAAATCAACCAATAAAGGTGATACATCACATCAACAGAAGGAAGGACAAAAACCATATGATAATAGATGTAGAAAAAGCATTTGATAAAATTTAACATCCCTTCATGATAAAAGCTCCCAACAAATTAGGCACTGAAAGAATATACATCAATATAATAAAGGCCATGTGATAAACCCACAGCTAACATCATAGTGAATGAGGAAAACAGAAAGCCTTTCCCTTAAGAATTGGAACAAGACAAGAATAACCATATCTACCATTCCTGTTTAACATAGTACTGAAAGTCCTAACCAGAGCAATCAGGCAAGAGAAAGAAATAAAATGCATCCAAATTGGAAAAGAGGAAGTCAATTTCTCACTCTTTGCAGATAACATGATCTTATATTAGAAAAACCTAAAGATCATAACTTGATCTTACATTAGAAAAACCTAAAGAAAAGCCAAAATACTCTTAGATCTGATAAAAGCAGTTATATTGCAGAATACAAATCAACATACAAAAATCAGTAGTATTTCCATATACCAATAATGAACTAGTTGAGAAAGAAAAAAGGCAATCCCATTTACAAAAGCTACAACAAACAAATAAATAAATAAAACAATGCTAGGAATAAATTTAACCAAGGAGGTGAAAGATCTCAACAAGGAAAACTACAATACACTGATAAAAGAAATTGAAGAGGACACAAACAAATGGAAAGACATCACATGCTCATGAATTGGAAGAATTAATATTGTTAAAATGACCATACTGTCCAAAGAAATCTACAAATTCAATGAAAACCCTATCAAAACATCAATATAATTTTCACAGGAAAAAATCCTAAAATTCATGTGGAACCAGAAGAGAGCCCCAATAGCCAAAGCAATCCTGAGTAAAAAAGAATAAATCAGGAGTCATCACACTACCTGCCTTTAAAATATATTACGAGGTTATAGTAATCGAAATAGCATGGAATTGGTATAAAAACAAACAAAACACCAATGGAACAAAATAAAGAGCCCAGAAATAAATATATGTATTTACAGCCATATTATTTTTGAAAAGGCACCAAGAACAGACATTGGGGAATGGACATGCTCTTCAATAAATGGTGCTAAGAAAATCGGATATTCATATGCAGAAAACTGAAACTAGACCCCTATCTCTCCCAAAATACAAAGAACAGCTCAAAATGGATAAAGCTTTAAATGTAAGACCTGAAACTATAAAACTCCTAGAAGAAAATGCAGAAAAAACACTTAGGACATTGGTCTACGCAGATCTTATGGCTAAGACCTCAATGGCACAGGCAATAAAACCACAAATAGGCAAGTGGTACCAAACTAAAAAGCTCCTGCATAGCAAAGGGAACAATTAACAGAGTGAAGACAAACTGTTGAATGGTAGAAAATATTGCAACAATTCGCCTGACAAGGAACTAATATCTGGAATACACAAGGAACTAAAACAACTAAACAGTAAAAAAAAAAAATCATCCCATTAGAAAGTAGGCAAAGGACATGAATAGACATTTCTCAAAAGAAGACATACAAATGGCCAATAAGTATATGAAAAAATGCTCAACATCACTAATTATATGGGAAATGCAAATCAAAACCACAGTGAAATATCATCTTACTCCAGTTATAATGGCGGTTATTAAAAAGACAAGAAATAGGCCAGGTGTGGTGGCTGACGCTTGTAATCCTAGCACTTTGGCAGGCCGAGGCGGCCAGATCATGAGATCAGGAGATTGAGACCATCCTGGCTAACACGGTGAAACCTGTCTCTACTAAAAATACAAAAAATTAGCCGGGCATGGTGGCATGAGCCTGTAGTCCCAGCTACTCGGGAGGCTGAGGCAGGAGAACTGCTTGAACCCGGGAGGCAGAGGTTGCAGTGAGCCGAGATTGCGCTACTGCACTCCAGCCTGGGTGACAGAGTGAGACTCTGTCTAAAAAAAAAAAAGAAAAGAAAAGAAAAGAAAAAGACAAGAAATAACAGATGCTGGCATGGATGTGGAGAAAAGGGAGCTTATACATTGTTTGTGAGAATATAAATTAGTACAGCAATAGATTTCTCAAAAAAAAAAAAAAAACCCACTAAAAATAAACTACTATATGATCCAGCAATCCCACTATTGGATATCTAAGGAAAGGAAATTATTATATCAAAGGGATATTTGCATACCCATGTTTATTAAAGCATTAATCACAATAGTAAAGATATGGAGTCAACCTAAGTGTCCATCAACAGAAGAACAGACAAAGAAAATGTGGGGCATATACAGAATGGAATAGTATTCGGTCATAAAAAGGAATCATATCCTGTCATTTGCAACAACATGGATGGAACTGGAAATCATTATGTTAAGTGAAATAAGCCAGACACAGAAAGACAAATATCACACGTTCTCACTCATATGTGGGAGCTACAAAAATCCTGATATCCTGGAGGTAGAGAATAGAATGGTAGTTACTAGAGCCTGGGAATGTGTGTGTGTTGGGGGAGAAGTAAAGTGAGGTTGGTTAATGTGGACAAACATGCAGTTAGAAGGCAATGTTTGATAGCGGAGTAGGGTAGCTATAGTTAGCAACAATGCATTGTATAGTTCAAAATAGCTAGAAAGGAAAACTTGAAATATTACCAACACATAGAATTGAAAAAACCCAAATATCCTAATTTGATCATTACACATTACATGCTTGTAACAAAATATCAAATGTACCCCTAAATATGTAAAATATTTTGTATCCATTTTTTTAAAAAGTCAGAGAGGACTGAGGGTACAACTGTCCTCAGATCCAGCCTCTGCCTAATTACCTCCACGGATAAGAAACTTGTTGTAGTTTTTAAACAGCTTTGGTTGCTAGAAAGTTCTATATGGCACCCCAAACCCCACTCCTATTTAAAATTAAGTTTGCCAGAGCAAAATCTCACTAAGTCGAGCTTTATGCATTTTGAATTCAGAGACTGATGACACACTTGATCTTTACTTAGTAAAAAATTAAGAGTTCCTGCACCAGTGAATTTTCAGTGGCCAAATTAGCCAATAAGGGCAATTCAGTTTAAAATGAATAGCTCCCTCCAACTGAGGCCTCAGTAAATGAAAAGATTGTTTAACCATGACTTTCTCGATCCCAAATGAATTTTTAGTGGTAACAATTGTATTTTTATGACACTGGATTGTGTAAAGTATGCCTCTTATGGACTTTTAACAATAGCATGACTTAATTATATAAAACTCATAGAGGAGGTAATTAATGAACTGAGTCAAATTCATCGAACTCGGAGAAGTTCTAAAAATTCCAGAAATGCCTGCTGCTCAGTAACAGCCCTTTCACCTGTTTCTCTCTCCCACCCAACCCCCTTCCCTCTCATTTGTGTCAGGCCTTTAGGTTGTAGATATCCTGACCAGCTGTGCTCTTCTGCAGAAGAAAGCTAAATGTCTAAAATATTCAACAAGTTAGCTTTTTGATTTAACAAGCCTCTCCTTCTTCCAGATTGTCGTGGATTTGCAGGGGCTTACAGTTTAATGACAATTCATGGAGTGGATGTCGATAGACTGAGAGGAAGCCAGCTGTCTGGGCATAAATCCTGTGTTCCTTCGCATTAGCCAGGGGGATTTGTGTTATTTGTCCAAGCGTTCTGAGTTGGTTTTTTCTAGCGTCTTTGAATGGGCTGTGTTTGGATCCTGGTTTTGTTTTGCAACCTCTGTTTGATAGTTTTTGACTTTCATCAATTTGTGCTTGCGGTGTGCTTATTTTGACAGCACCCCGGAGAAACACCATGCCATCTTGCATTTGCAATTTTCTAAGCCTTCTAGCCCAGGAGGTCTGGCCTATTAGGCCTATTTGAAAGGAGCATATATACATTTTTAACATTCTTAATATTTGCGTGAAGAGGAACTCTCAAATTTAGTTTGTACTGGGTGGAGTGGTCCTTAGTAGGCGCCCGTGTTTTATTCTATTTCGTGATGTTTGTGGCTGGTGGGTTTAGCAGTCACTGGGTAGGGGTGTCGGTGGGGGTGCTGCCCTCCTCTCTGGGTGATGGTATCGTTAGGTTAGTACCATTAGGTTAGTATCTGGCTCTTCCCACTCGGCTGAGGGGCCCCTGCCAGGCCCAGTCCCTGTCCTCCCTGTGCGTCCCGCGCACGGCCCCGAGGTCCCCCCATGCCTTGGGCACAGGCGCCACCCCCTCGGTTCTCGGGGATCCTGGCCGGCAGCTCCCAAAGACAATTCAGAGCCCCTTTCATTTTAAAAGCTTTGCTGCTCATCACTTCTTGGAAACTCTAAAGGTACATTTCATTTTTTTAAGAGTTGTAAAGTTACGAAGCTTGCAGTTTTTCAAGGGAGCTCATAGTTCTGGATCCTCCTTTAAAATGCGCTTTTACATGACTGCACACATGAATACATATTTGCTGAGAGAAAGAAGCGATACGAAGTGCGTCGCGCAAAAATTAACTTGCTGGGCGGGTGCGGACGCCCAGGAAGATCCGGACGTCCAGAGTCCCCCGTTCCCGCTGCTCCGTCCCGGGCTCGGGGGTCGCTTCGCCGGCTCCTTTCGGCCTGGGAACCAGGCGGTTCTGTCCTCAGGAATCTGTGGGCGCCTCTCCCGCTCCTGACTCTGACAAAGCCATAGCCACGCGGGAAAACTTTCTCCGGGCCCTGGGCCCCACCCCGGGCTCCGCGGGGGTCCCAGGGCGTCTGCGCGGCCCGGCACCCCGACCCCATCCCCGCCCCCCACCGCCGTCCGTCCGGGCCGAGTCAGCGGCGCCCCAGGCCCCAGGGGCCCCACCGCCCATCCGGGCTGGGCGCGGCCTCCTCTCGGCGTCCCCCGCTATCCTGCGACCTCGGGCGGCAGAGGGGACGAGTCCCGGACGCCCCGGAGGCCCGGCGCCCAGGCTCCGAGGGATGCCCTGAAGCGCTGGGGTACGGGCGCAGCTCCGCGGATCCTGCGCCCTCCACCTTCACCTCAGCCCTCCACCTTCACCTCAGCCTAGCGGCGGCCTGAGCGTCAGGGGCGCGCGTGCGCACTGCGCCTCTCGGCCGTTGCCTTGGTGACCCGGGCGGACGTAGCCACGCCCTCCGGCCAGGGTCGGGGAGCGGGTGGGGGGAGGGGGCAGCCCGGGAGTGAGTGGGGGTCGGTGCGGGGGAAGGAGGGAACGTGTTGAGGGGAATTTGCGGGGGCCGGGTCGGGGCTCGGGGGTAGAGGAGGACCCAGGGAACCGAGGAGAGGGCAGGGCCAGGGACTTGGTGAGGGCTCAGGATGGGGGGGTTCCCGGGTGAGGAAGCAGCTAGGGGTGGGTGGGGGCCAAGGTGGGGGGACCAGGTGACGGGGTAGCCTGGGGTGAGGACGTCGCTCAGTAGAGCAGCGAGGGGCGAGGGTCTCGCCAGGGCGGTGGCGGGGACGGCACTGGGAGGAGGGGACCGAGGCTGACCTGTCTGTGGGGGATGGGATTCGGAGCCCGGTCGAATTTGGGGGCGGGTCTGGTCCTGGGGAAGGTTCGGGGGCGGACCTGGTCTTGGGGAGGGTTTGGGGGCGGGTCTGGCTCTGAGGAGGGCTTGGGGCCGGCCTGGTTGTGAGGATGGTTTGGGGGCGGGCCGGGTCCTGAGGAGGGTTTGGGGCGGGCGTGGTGGGGAGGGGGCGGGTCTAGTTTTGGGGAACGCCCCGCCCGCCGCCTGGCCCCGCCCGGCCCACTGGGCCCGCGTCCCGCAGGAGCCGCAGACAGAGCGTCCGGTGGCCGGGAGGGACTCGGACCCACAGCCTGACGCACGGACGGAGGGACGCCGGAGCCCGCCCGACCATGTGGAAGCTCGGCCGGGGCCGGGTGCTGCTGGACGAGCCCCCCGAGGAGGAGGACGGCCTGCGTAGGGGGCCGCCACCGGCCGCTGCCGCCGCCCAGGCGCAGGTGAGGGGCTGCGCAGGTGGGGAGTGCGAGTAGGCCCGGGGCGCGCAGGTGGAGGTGCGGGTAGTTTGGGCGCGCAGGTGAGGTTGGGGCTGCCTAGCCCCGGGGCGCGGCCCGCTAGGTGCCCGAGTGCGGAGTCGGAGAACTTGACCCGAGGCTGGTCCCGGGCTGAGTTTCCTCTGTGGTCCGCGTGGACCCCCTCCCCGCGTTACTGGCCAGGGCTGCCGGCGTTCTCGTCGATTGCAGGGGGGCCCAGTGCCCCCCACGCCTGTTACTCGGGGCGCAGCCCCAGGAGAACGGGGACGCAGGGCGCGCACCCCGCAAGCTGGGCGTCGTGGGCCCAGGACGCCGAGGTCCACGCCGGGTGCTCGCGTCCCGGGCGGAGCTGGCGGAGAAGGCCTGAATCATCGCGCACCCGGACGGCCTCCTCGCGGACACTGAGCAGCTTTGGACGACCGCAGCTCAGTGTTAAGTGGGCTAAATATTTGTTTGCATAACAAGTATTTTCTTAAATCCTTGATTTTTCTGAAGGAAGGCGGCAGAAGTCCCTTATACTGAAAACTGAAAGGCCTTTGCCTGACGAGTGTAGAGATATGTTTGGTATGTCTAGAATTTTTTAATTAAAAGTGCTCCCAGGTGGGCCCTGTGTGCCTTAGATGTGCGCCCCCTCCCCCCGGCCCCCTTTTTCCATTGCTGTGCTCTTTTTCATGTACAATGAAATTTAGGTCAGAAATCCAGCTTTTTTTTTTTTTTTTTTTTTTTTGAATGAGGGTCATAAAATATCTTTTTCTGTTAAACGTTTGGCAACTTCCTCCTGATGCTGTTAGGGCTGAATGGAAGCTAAGGATTTGTACCTTTCTTCCGAGGACTTGGAAGTAGTTTCCGAGCAGAAGAGTTTCTCTTAGGGACTGGGGTTGTTTCTTCTTGATAGACATTTCCTATGAAAGTTAAATTCTGTTCCCAACTCATGGAAAATGGAGCCGATTATGTTAAGCGCTTAAATATGGTTACTATCTGAACTTGTCTGAGAAATTTCTTTTAGGTAGTGTTAGTGCTTACCTACCCTTTATTTTAAAATTCAAAATAGTTACTCTAAACAGCTGTCTTTTTGAATGTAATGATGAGAATTTATATGTGGCTACAGAGTTAACTGCAGAAACTATAACTAATGTTGGTCAAAGATGAGCCATATTACTCTTTCTGGATAGAGCCTTGAGAATTTTAAACCGAGCCTTCCTATGTTCTCCCATTTTTCCTAATGAGTCCTGAAACCCACTTTTTGTTTTTGTTAAGTTTTTATTTTGAGACGGGGTCTTGCCTTGTCGACGAGGCTGGAGTGCAGTGGGGCAATCTCGACTCACTACAGCCTCAACCTACCTGGGCTCAAGCGATTCTCCTCCCTCAGCTTCTGTAGTAGCTGGGACTACAAGCGTGCACCACCTCACCTGGCTAATTAAAAAAACCCGTTTTTGTGGAGATGGGGTCTTGTTATGTTGTCCGGGCAGATTTCGAACTCCTGGGCTCACGTGATCCACCGGCCTCAGCCTCCCAAAGTACTAGGACCACAGGCGTGAGTCACCACGCCTGGCCTTAAGTTCTTATTTTGAAAAATTTCAAACATGCAGAAAAGTAGAAGGATAGGAGATTCTTCCTCATATCCTCCACCTAGATTCAATCAGTGGCAGTGCCTTCGATAAAGCTCCTTTTCTGATTTTCTCTTTACAGGATTATCATCTATACTGTGGTTTTTTTTTTTTTTTTTTTTTTTTTTGAGATGGAGTTTCGCTCCTGTCGCCCAGGGTGGGGTGCAATGGCGTGATCTCACCTCACCGCAACCTCCGTCTCGCGGGTTCAATGATTCTCCTGCCTCAGCCTCCTGAGTAGCTGGGATTACAGGCGTGTGTCACCACGCCCAGCTAATTTTCTATTTTTAGTAGAGACGAGGTTTGTCCATGTTGGTCAGGCTGGTCTCAGACTCCCCACCTCAGGTGATCCGCCCGCCTCAGCCTCCCAAAGTGCTGGGATTACAGGCGTGAGCCACCGCGCCCCACCTGTCATCTATACGTCTAAAGTGTGTATGGGTTTGGTGGGGGGAAAAAACTTTAATAGACTTTATTTTTCAGGTATCCAGTTTTAAAAAGTGCCCAGCAAATTTGAGCAGAAAGTACAGAGAGTTCTCATGAATCCCCGGCCCCCCGGTATCATCACCCGCAACAGAGTGGTGCGTTTGTTACAATTTGTGGACCTACACGGGCTCATGGTCCTCACCTGGGAGGGCTCACGCGATGTACATTCTATGGTTTGGACAAATGTGTACTGACGTGTGCCCACCATTATAGTATCACACACAGGAGTTTTGCTGCCCTGGAGACTCTCTGTGCCCCCTCCCTCCCCAGAACCCCTGGCAACCACTGATCTTTGTACTGTCCCCATAGTTTTCCAGAATGTCATTCGGTTGCATTCAGTGTGTAGCGTTTTCAGGTAGGCTTCTCTCACTTAGAAAGATGCACTTAAGGTTCCTCCGTTTCTTGTCATGGCTTGTAGCTCATTTCTTTTTAGCACTGAATACTATTCCACTGTCTGGCTGTACCACAGTTTATCCCTTCACCCTATGGAGGGCATGTTTGCTGCTTTCACGTTTTGGCAATTATGAATAAACATCAGTTTATTCACAGACCAGCTGTAAACATCAGGTGCAGGTTTTTGTGTGAATGTAAGTTTTCAACTTACTTGGGTAAATACCTAGGAGCCTGATTGCTGGATTGCATGGTGAGAGTTTAGTTTTATAAACACTGCCAAACTGTCTTCCAAAGTGGCTGCACCAGTTTGCACTCCCATGGGCAATGAATGAGATTGTCTTTCGCTCCACCTCCTTGCCAGCCTTTGGTGCTGTCAGTATCTAGATTTTGTCCATCCTAGTAGGTGTGTGGTGGTTTCTCTTTGTCTTGAATTGTGCTTCCCTGATGACAAATGACATGACCATCTTTTCAGATGCATGCTTGTCATCTGTGTCCCTTTTTTGTTGAGGTGTCTGTTTAGATCTTTCACCCCATTTTTTAATTAGGTGGTTTGATTTCTCATTGTTGAGTTTTAAGAGTTCTTTGTATATTTTGGATACTAGTCCTTTATATGTATGTGTTTTACAAAGATTTTCTCCCAATCTGTGGCTTCACGTTCTCTTGACAGTGTCTTTTTCAGAGCAGAAGTTTTTTATTTTAATGAAACTTCACTATGAATTATTTATTTCATGGATGTGCCTTTGGTATTATATTTAAAAAGCTATCACTGTACCCAGGGTTTTCCCAGTTATCTGCTACTTGTAAATTTTGACTGGTTTTTATGTTACTTTATTAAGGGTATCTAAAGTTTGTGTTGAAAAACATTGCTATATAAAAATAGAGAAAATTTGTGTTAATTATGACAGGTTAGTCATATTCTAAATTTAATTTCATCAAGAGGACTGATCTTTATTGCAAAGCTAACTTAGAATTAAGACAAGTTAGAATTAAATTTAAATTAGAATTAAATTTTAAAATTCATGAAAAGTCTCATAAAACTTCTGCCTACAAAATTTTAAAGTTGAGAGAAGTAGGAATTAATATGCAAATAGGATTTATTGAATCTGTTAAATTCACTGTCATGTTAGAAGTTCTCAGTTCTGTTTCATTCTTAGTCTTTTGTCCTACCCTCCAAATCTGTCAGTCAGTGTGATATTGAACGTGCAGGTTGAGAGGACATTCTGCTTGATTCTAGAAAGGCATTCAGTTTGCAATCATACCTGTCCTGTTGCCTTTCTTGAACATCAGGTTACACAGCTTTTTTTTTTTTTTAGTGAAAAAGTAGATCATGTTTGGTTCTGATAAATTTGAAATGTGAAGCATTCAAACTTACTTGGATTTAAGAGACACTTAACTATTACTAAAATAATTTTAACATTTTAGAAAGTACATTTTTCTGAGCATCTTTTAGGCTATGGGCCTTTTTTTTGGTCACAAATACACATCTATTTTGTATTAAAATATAACTGTAAGGTTTATAAGGAGAATCATTCATTGCAATCCTTCAACAGAAAGATACAACTTTTGATGAATCTGATGTTACTTAAAGAAGAACTGCTAATGCATATGGTAAAATGTTTCTTGAGATTGTTAGGTCTTAAATTCTTCCCCATGGGAAACATTGTTAAGTTCTTTTGTGTATCTGTCCATAAAATATTTACGCAGATACATAAATGTGTGTTCAGAAACAAAGATTTGCTGTCTCACTGTTCACATTTTTCTGTACCTTGAGTTGTTCTCTTCATAGCATGTGTCTCATGGAGTGCTTCCCATTTCAGCACTGCTAGCTGGAAAAAATCCATTTTAAGGCTATGTGATACTAAATGATATTAAATTTCTGTGACAAAATTTATTTCATTGGGCCTCTTATGGTGGATATAAAGGTTGCTGAACCGTTTTCTGACCTCTGCCCCTCAAAATTTTATGCAAATAGTAGGGAAAGAAGTGCAGAGAACTGTTCAACATGGATGGTTTAGATAGGTCTAATAGGGACAGTGTAGACAAGTTCATCAGTTGCCTCTAAACTGGATTGCATAGGGAGTTGGCTAGAAACTAATGGCTTTCTAAACAAAACTCAGAATTTTTGGCATTTTTTCACTTACAAACTTAAAAGGCTTAGACATATTCTATAGACATTGCAAAGAAAAAAAGGAAGAAAGAAATCAAGGACTGTTTCAGGTGTTGTAAAATCATGCTTGGAGATGAGGAGAGCCAAGGAATAGTGAATCTTAGTTTAGATGACACAAAGTCACTATTTTATGGCACTGTGAGGCTCTGTGACGTTTGCTTTAGTGGTGTCTGGGAAGAAAGGAGTGGAGTAGACTCAATAGCTGGTGTTGATGAGTGCTCTGAAATCTAGAAAAGGCCTGATGTTCTACTGGAGGTCGGGTATGTGGGAAGGCAGAGGCCTTTCCTTGCATAGCTAACATTTTGTTACTGTTTTCC